ATAAACAATAATTCCTCACAGACTCGACCTCATGGCCTACTTTATCGCCTCCTTGCTTCTAGCTGCTTAGTAGGTATTTATACAGGCAACGTCTCAGTGATATTTAAACATCTGCAGTGCCAGATGCATCTCGCATCATATTGTCTGCTAAAGTTACCGGTTCAAAACGCCGTGAAATATTCTCTTGGCGGATTCATTTGCTATTTGATATACTCGGGCGTAAGAACAACTTATAACCTTAATGCGATACTAAAAAATGATGCGAGATGTATCGTTATATTACAAGTGCTGAAATATCATTGAGCTCTAGCAAGCTCAAATTATCCAAAGGTATCCGGCAATAAAAAATCCATGAATCAACGTAATAACTTTGTTTTAAACGGATTAGATAATGTTATGCTTAGTGATTTATAATTCATCCAGTTCTGCACTCGACTTTATGAATGTTTATGAGCAAGTTGCTCCTATGGCTAAGAGATGTCCGGTTGTTTATAATAGAGTAGAACATGTCAGGGTGTTATTGAAGCCATAATGCGGAATAAGATTACAGCTGAATTAAGGGATTGTAAATATCGACAGGATCGCTCAACTTTTATCGACCCACAGCAGTTAAATGCCCATACTACAAGAGATGAATACAAGACACTGTAGGCTACTAAAGAAACCAATATCTGAATTTGCCTTCAATGGAATAAGTAATTTTTGACTGGTTCTTCGAAGATATGTGGAGAGAACTGCTTCATGAAAGTACAACGAAATCCTTAATTCCAAAAAGTGCAAACCGCCTTTTCTTCAAAAAGATAAAATTACAGACTGTTAAACAAGTATTTAATAACTCTGGGATGCCTTAAATGTTACAACTTAATGCATACGACGAGAATCTCGGTTGTTTATGTCTCTAGAATGATCATTTAGAGATGATCGAGATTCTAGGGAGGTTTCCACTTCTGTATCGCAGGGTCAACTGTTCAGAAAGGTACTCGCAAAATACATGATAATATGCACTTGAGAGGTTCCAGCAAAGATCGAGTGTCGCATTATTAGGTTATCATATTTTAGCCATTTAAACTTCATAATGCTATTGTTATCGTTCGTTCAAAAGTTAACTTTTCGATTCTGATAACGATGTCCGATGAGACGGAGGGTAGGTGGCAAAGTGGCCAGAGCCCGGTTTCGAACTTTAAAATGCCAGGTTCGAATGGGAAGAATCTCCTACGCGCTAATTTCCTCGAGCAAGAAATTATTCCCATGTTTCTTCTGTGTAGCAAGAACGTAACGGTAGCAAATCGTTGATTTGCGAACAGTGGGGACAATCTAGCATTCATATGTGGTTATCGTAGAATGGGCAAGAGGCATGGCCATGATGTCTAGTCCGAGTGAGAATGAGGGCGGCAATTTGCCCTGACCATCTGATACTTTATCGTCCAGTGAAATAAGTGACAAAAGTGAACTCTGTTGCTGCAGAACGTTCAATAAGCCATAGACTGGAGCAATTCGTTTTTGTCGACGCAATGCAGTAGGACGAAGACATGTAGTTACCGGCTGGAGCTTACAACTCCAGAAAACTAGCAAGAATTTGAATACTAGAAACAGTGTAGTTCCTTGCACTCGTTCTGTCATTTTAATAGCCCGCTGTGACAACTTTACTCTTAACTTTGCTAACGATATTTTGTATTGATGACCGTCATTTGTTATTTAATTATCACTTGCGTTTTATTTACTCATACTGAAGAACCGATGCCTTACTACGTTTAATTACTCACATACAGATCCATCGGCGTACGAACGACCAGCCATAATTTATGATGATCACTGCATATTTTGTGAACTGAGCAAAATTTGATCACAAATCAAAACTTGATGACAGATGAACCTAATGGCAAACCATGTTTGCGACTTCCTAAAAGTTGCCCCAGTGCAACAGTCTATCTCTTTTAGAACGCCAACGGTATTATAAAAACAAAGTGCGCCAATAAAACCACCAGTTATATCTGTCATCTGTCAACATAATTGTATTTCAAGCGGAGAACAAATCCTCGGTACCCTTTATCATCCGGCAGATGTATCGGCAGTAAAACGAGGTTTCGTTCATTAAAAACAAATACATATTGCTTTTCGCCGACCAACCATTCTTTAAGCCGCGGCTGTTTTTATTCTTTCATTACAGTATGTCTGTTGCATTTGCACACATAATTTTGGTCGTCGATGCGTACAAGCATGCATCGCTCTTGAATTCGACTTAAACCAACAAATCTTAAACTGAAAGTTAAACTGTTCAAAGTCTGGACAAAATCTTTGCTTGAAAAAAAGAAGTTCTCCAAATCCAAACGATGTTTTTTCAACGCACAATAACGTTTTAAAAATAAACAAAAATTTTAATCTGCGTTAAAAAAGGAACATTTGTTCGGGCTTCGAGAGCTCGTCACCTCAATTAAAAGTTTTGCCCAGGCTTCGAACAGTTTCCTGGTTTATATGACTAATTAGTTTTCTTATTCTTGTCATCTTCAAGAAAAAGGTGAAACTACTGCAAATAACGACAGAAAGAATAAAGTCGACATTCTCAATGGTACCTGAGCAATTTCCAGGAAGAACATGGGCGAACTGAAAACTGGTATTTCCTTCCACGCTGGTGATAACTGTGTCGATCTTTTCATCGTTGAACAACAGCTGCAGATGCACGTCATGGCAAGCTATGAAAATACGCATACCAATTTTTGGCGAAAACATTGAAGACATTGTTATTTCTTTACCTTGGCAAAAAATAAACCCTGAAATCTTCGCTTTGAACTGATGGAAGACAACAGTGGACAAAATCTTGTCATCTACCTCAACT